CCTCCTTACACAGTTTTACATATATATAAAAAGGGGGAAAAACAAAACTCCCCTTCTCTTCTACTCAGACAACCCTCCCCACGTCTGCCTGTTCAAGCCCGCGGCATCGACGGGCACCGCCACGCCCGGTGGGCCCATCCTCGCCACGACGCCGCTCTTGAGGTTCAGCCTTTTCTCTATCTCGGCGTCGCGCACGCCCCTCTTCCGCAGGAGCAGGGCGCGGCGCAGGGTCCCGGCGTCGAGGAACTCGCGCCCCTTGGAAGGGTCTTCGAATTCCTTTTCCGCGAGTTGCTGGAACTTGGCGCGGGCTTCGAGCGCGGAGAGGGTGCGGTTTTGTTGTTGGGGTTGTGGGGGGTGCACTTTCGTCTTGGATGGGGAAGAAGGGGGTTGGTTTAGGGAGTGGGAGATTTCCGTGTATGTAGACGGCGCAGGCGCGGGGTCGGAAGATGAGGAGGAGGGGGGAGGAGAGGAGGTATTGTTGTGGGGATGGGGATCAAAGTCGACGGGCGTAAATGACGGATGGCCCGGTGTAGAAGGCGTCGGGTTCGCGTAAGGGCCCGCGGTCGACGAGTTGGAGAGCGTCGGGTACGGTGTCGCGACGCCCATCTGCCGCAGGCGCTCCGCGTACCCTTTGTCGGCAAGCGCGTTCAGGTCGAAGTCTGGGTCGGAGCCGTCTTTGTGAATTGCTAGGATGAGCGGTGGCGTTAGTTTTTTATTGTGTAGTGTAGGTGTATGTATACTAAAGCTCACCATCGTCTTTGACATCCCTCGGCGCCCCCCCTCTCGCCGCTTGTGCTTGTGATCCTGCGCCTGCGCCTGGTCTCGGTGCTGCTGCACGAGCGGACGGCGGTACGGCGCTTCCGGGGGCCCGTGTCGGGAACTTGCGCGCCGCCGTCTGCGCCGGCTTCGAGGCTTTCGCGCCCATTCTGTGTGTGATTGAGGGATCGTAGCTCAGATCGTTCCTCCTATGGCAGCGTAAATCGGGAATGTACTCGGCTCCTTTGAGGACCTTCTGGTGCCGTAAGGAGTAGATGTATATGGGGTTGTTTGTGTAACAACCTGTTGCTAGTCTAATGGAATGTAATTACTTGCGTATGCAGGGCGCTCTGGAATGTTGATTGGGAGACTTTGAGAATGACGTTCTTTAAGATCCCCACTTTCCTGACAAGAAGCTTGGCTTGTTTACCCCACATTTTGCTTTTTCTGGATAGCTAAGCTACCCTGGAGATCAAACCCGTTGTCAAGTGTTTCTCTGTTCAAGAAGCCCACTTTACAAGTAAGGGGTACTTAGGAATGCATGCATGTAAGTAACTAATCTGTAGCATTGATATTCCTGATTCCTACTGTTCAGCTTGATTCAAGAAGGTCGCACAGTCGCGCTGAAAGGGCAGTGCTGGCAGGGATGTTCTCAATAAGATGATACCCCAACTGCGGTGTCAAGTTCAGAAAACATACCTACATAAGCTTAAGAGATGGTCACGCAAGGCAAAGTTGATCACAGAAGAAGGGTAATTGAAATGAAGAGGTGATAGATAGGCATAGCAAGGCCGTCCCAGGTATATGGATAAAGTCTTCTTCCCATCTACTTTTTCCGATGTATTCTTTATTCTCTATGAGTCTCAATAAGAAGTCCCATGTAAGGTTACTTCTTGTTACCCCAAAGCTGAACCGTTGATTACTGTTCCAGTCGGATTTTGAACTTTGGGTGCGCATTCCCGGCTTCTCTCCGCGGCCAATATTATTACGTGGCAATGTAGTATTCTCGTCTTCTTTTTTTCAATACGGCGTATCAGTAACGGGAAACGAACAATTACAAGATCGAGAACGGGGCTTTCATCTCGTATATACTGATAAAGCATCGCTTGGAGAAGAAATAAAGTCATTCACGAGAATCATATGTGCAATGCTTGATTGGATTTAAATGCAGAAAAGTGAATATGAGTCTATCTGATAATAACGCTCCCTTCCCTAAAACCATGATCGTGATTTCTTTTTCCCTCGTTTAGATAGTCCCTTCGCCCATGAAGACCCAGTGTAACATGCAGATCCCAGTAAAAGTTGAAAGTCTGAGATGATGACATCTCTCATCTCATCTAGATAACAGCTCTTCTAAGCCTCGACGGGAGGCAGGGGAGTAAAGGGGACGTCGGGGTACTGGCCGAGCTCGAGCTGGATGCCGCCCTGGATGAGGTCGAAGAGGCGGTGTCCCTTCTCGCTGTAGCCGTGGACGTACTCCTCCCCGAAGGGGGCGAGGAAGGTGTTGTACGTGGTCTCGGGGTCCTTGACGGCGAAGCGGGTGAAGGTGTCGTTGGTGCCGCGGAAGAGGGTGCTGTTGGTGTAGTTGCCCTGGACGTAGTCGTAGAACCGCTCCGGGATCAGGGGCGAGCGCGGCTGCGGGAACTCGAACCCGATCGACTTGACGATCCACTGCGTGTCGATGTTCTTGAAGTCGGGCACGCCCAGGATCGTCTGCAGCGAGATGCCGTCGTACAGCCGCTCGAGCCGGTTCGCGCTCCAGTGGCGGCCGTCGCGGTGGTTCTTGACGAAGTTGACCGCGCCCACGCCGCTGTCGATCTCGAACCGGTACTTGTGGCTATTCCACGGGCTGTTGGGGCGTTCTATGTGACATGTCAGTCAATCTGATATCCGGTGAAGGCTAAGCAAATAAAAGGAGACTTACGATCCCAGCCGAGATCGTGGAGGAGAGAGCCGATGGCGTGCAGCTCGAGGTCGACCTGGGCCTTGAGGGTGGCGTTGTTGTTGAGCGCGGCGGCGCCCAGCAGCCAGGTGCGCACCACGTGGTTGTACAGGTACGGCTGGAGCGGCTTGAACTGCTCAACCAGCTTCAGCGCGTCCTGGACGATCCTGGTGTTGACGACCTCGACACCGGCGATGAAGGTGGTAGGCAGAGGGGTATCGGTTCTGCACGCGAGAGCAGCGGCCGAGGCGCCGGAAGCCGCGAGGGCGGAAACGAAGCCAGTAGAGAACTTCATCTTGAATCACACCGCGTTAGACGATTCGGGTCGAGGGACAGGATGGAGAAGCGACCGAGTATAGAAGGTGAGAGCGTGAGTAGCAAAGAAAAAGGGAATACCTCTCTGCACGACCGGCCGTTCCTTATATATCCATTGACGCACTCATGTCGATCAGCTCCCAAGACAGGAGAAGTAATGGTAAATTACCACGCCTCGGTGTTCCAACATGGGCACACTTGCGCGTATGCCGTGCTACCATACCTGCCCAAAATAGCATTATGCTCTTGAGGCTGACTCCCCTTACAGCTGCATCTTCCTCACCCGGCCCCTGACATGTCTAGCCGATAGACTGCCGAACCCTAGAAGGGCAGCGCATGTGGAGAAGGTCTAAAGACTAAAGGTACGACATGGGGATGGATGGTGAACTCTTTTGGTCGAGCCCAGCGACTGATGAGGCAGCCGGGGAAGTCAGAAACGGTAGAAAGTGCGTTGTTTGGTTGGATTGATTTATTAACCAGATAGAGCCAAGCATGTACCCCAGCTGAGGAGCTGACATCCTCACAATCCCTGCACCGGCGGGAACCGGCTCCAAGCCTAGCCAAGCACTTTTTCACTCATGGGAGCCGTTGATTACTAAAGATTCCTTCCTCATCTTCAGCTTCAGTCTTCTCGGTCACCTGCCTGAAAGTGGTCCACTCTGTCGGCAGTTAGCTGTAGGTTATAGGGGCAGTTGTGTTGGATTACGACCTTCCGATTAAGCGACAGGCAAGGGTGAGCGACTCAGGGAGACTTCACCACAGCCTTGAGAGCGACTGTGCCAGCTCACAACAACCAATGCCTCTTTTGCCATGGTAGAGCACATTACCAGTAGTGGTATTCCATGCTTAGTCCACAGGTCGAGCTAGAAAGAGCAAATGTGCTCTCTGAAGCAAGTTACGTAATGTGATGCGTTAGGTAAGTAAAGTCTCTTCACGTTTGCTGTTTTCAACATTAAAGGTTCAGGCTCCAGGATCGGCCTTCTATTTTGAGATGTCCGAATGGGGGCCGGGGCTCACAGGGGAGCGTTTGCTCCAACGCCTCCCTACTGCCTGCCTACTGCCTGCCGCTGCCGGCCAAGCTAGCTAGCTCCTCCCGTCGCATGAGATCAGACTATCATTCGTCAATTTGCCCATCCGCTATTGTGATCCTAATAAGGCGTGCTATCCCTTCCAGCCTCAGATTTTCTGTACCAAAACTCCTAAAGCTGGACGGCCATTCAGGAAGGGAAAATTGCTGAATGGTGAAAATGCGTAACGAGTGGTGCAGGTAACAGGTAACGTGACGCGTTCTGTTACAGTCATCGCCAATCTGTCGAGCCTTGGCTCTAGTGAGCAGTATGCATCATAGAATTGTGAATGGACAGGTCTACGTCCTCCCATATATCGGTCTTCTGTACCTCCCAAGTTCTTCTTCGACAACGGAGTTTACAATGTCCTATGGATTGCGTCTCGTTTTATACCTGTCCTTATAGTCCTTTGGCATTACGTTGACTTAAGAGCCAGCTCACCTCCCATGATATTATTGTTTTGCACTACCTTCTTAGACTTTCTTAAACCTCTGTTGTTAATTTGCTGTGTCCGATTTCTGACACGGCCCCTGCTTGCTCACAACAGCGACTATACATAGACTTAACCTTAGTAGCCACACAAGACATGCAGACTTGAGTTGAGCATCTCGCGATCGCTAGCTTTTTGTTTCAGAGGCACCTATATATTCAAGAGTGTGATAATCTGCTCTTTCAAGTTGTTTCCTCAGGAATTGGTTAAGAGGGGTTCTGCATGACAAATGGCTGTGATCCGCAGGACCAGGGGCATGAGATCACAGCAACGTCGCTTCGTAAATCAAAAGCAATACAACCCTCAGGAAACAAAATCCAACTACACCATCGCCACAATACCTAATTCCTGACCACAGGAGGAATGAATAAATAGTCTTGTAAACCCACAAAAAATAAATGGAAAGAAGAGAACCAAAATGTCAAAAAATTGGACGAACGGGGAATTGAACCCCGGACCCCTCCCAGACACTGTACTGATGAAGATCAGATAATGCGAAGGGAGTATCATACCCCTAGACCATTCGCCCCATCTCACATAGTCGAATTGAATGGACTGTTGTGATTTGTTGGAGACGTCACTCCCCAACAGACTCTATAACCTCTAACAATTTACACACAGTCTGCCTCGCCATTTACACTGTTTCAATGCTTACCCCTATTACAGCATAGCCTCCACTGTGTATTCCACTTTACCGTCAACGTTGCTGATGATGATCCCTTGAATCTTCTCACTTGATGCTGACATCTCACGTTTCAGACTCAACATGAGCTGTATTCTTTGACCAGCGATGGTGACTGACGTTTTAATTTGCTTATCCACCGGAATGTAGAAGTTCACGACTACTTGTAAAATAAATTTCCAAGGTTAGCCAATTTCGTGGCGCGGTGGCGTCGATGCCGACTCGATGCCTTCCGACAACGGCACACGGTTGACAGGCATTTGGTTAGTGGTCAATGGTCATTCTACGGCATGTCGGCGAACCAGACAAGTCAACTTACTAACCCTTAACCTAACCAGGTTCCTGGCGGCGTTTATCTTGCTTTCATACTCATGGCAAGGTAATTCGTTAATAAGTATGTGCCTACTTCACCTCCATCTGGTTGTTGTCTGATCGTTGGGAGTATAGTCACTGACGAGCGCGCTCAGGTACACCACGACTCTCATCCTTCTCATTGCTTTTTATTTCTGGGGCTGTCGCCTTCGGTACCAGCCTCTTTTCCAAATGGCTTCCGGGAGCCGACGGGCGGTTTGGTAAGTCCACCATGACCCTGTCATGCGCGCCGGTTTCTAACAGGTCACTCACTACTCACTCAGACTCGGACGCTGTCCTAAAGGCGTCTTCGTCGTCTTTACCTCCCCGACCGCGTCGCTACTATATACCCTGTATCATTATCCTCATCCTTCTTAGACTGGAGGTCTCCTATAGAGTCCTACAAGATTACCAATGTTCTGTCTCAGGCTTAGAGGTAAGCACCCTGTCATTTCATCACTGGCCTCACTCCTTCTTGCTAAACCCCTCTATTCGCTCAATAGGCATTTCTACCGTTACTTTTGGCAGCTTATAGATTCTTCTCATACCGTCCACCTCCTGTGGCCAAGTCCGATGAGCCGGAAGACATGTGGGGCAACCCTCTCGAGGACTTCAAGACCTGGCTGAAGGGGTCCCCTCTGATATTGCTTCTCGTTACCTCTCTCCTCAGCTACTCGGCATTTTCAGCCAATACGGGCACTGCGAAGTCTACCTACTTCTGCTCCTCTCTGGCAGACCGAGGCTCTTTCATTGTGTTCCTTCAATGGATGGGTCTTTTTGCCGATGCTGCCATCATCATCCTCTCATGGAGGGTGTTGTCCTGGGCACGCACGACGCGTAGCCGACTGCGAACACTCGGCAGCATCTTGTTGATAACGTCAATAGCAACTCTCATCCCATGGCTGGCGACAAGTGCCTCGAACGATCATGATATCGTCAGCAACCAACCACTGAGAACCACCAACTCTCTATACATATTCGACGCGCTCAGTACCGGATTGGTTGTGGCCACTCTTATAATATCCGGGTCACTAATGTCATGTGATCCATCCCCGCTGGAACCGGTAACCACGGCGACTTTCATATCCGGCGTGTCTTCAGTGATCGGTAACTTGGTCCTTTTCGGCACTTACCAGAACACGTCGGCGATGAAGCCCCTTGCCACATTATTCACCATTTCCCTCGCCTTTACCGCCTTCACGTACACGTGCAACATGCGCTATGTGACCGTGGTAAGGCGCGTGTTCGTCCTGGTCTTCTTGCTCGCCATCTTCGGCTCCTCGGCCACTTACATCATCCTTACACCGAGAAACATGCGACGTCACCCCGTCGATGACCTCGTATATAAGGGGAGGGTTGAGGCAGATCGATGGCTGCGGCATGCGACGGTCAGCACGACACTGAAGCTAGCTGCCAAAGAGTATCAGGAGCGCCATCACGGACGCCCGCCACCCAAGAACTTCGACAAATGGTTCGAGTTTGCCCAACAGAAGGAATCGGTCGTCATCGATAGGTTCGACCAGATCGAGAAAGACCTCCTGCCGTTTTGGGGCTTGAAGCCTGACACGATACGGGAGGGCTTGGAATTCCTCAAGACTCAGCCGAACATCGGTATCATTAAGATATCGAACGGCAATGTGTTTCACAACAGCCCGACAAAGGATCCGCAGCATACGAAAACACTTGATGAGCTGGTGGAACTGATCTCAGCCTTTGCGCAACACCTTCAGCCTATGGAGATAGCGATCAATCTACAAGAGCGACCAAGGGTTTTGGCCCCTTGGGTTGACGTCCACCGATTACGAACTATCGCGACGCAGGCCGGTTTCCACCTTGTGTCTGGCCGGCTGGGAAAGCGTGAAGGCTTGGCTTCTACGCTGGATGGCAGCGGTACTATCGCCAGGCGAACGAAGCCTGCGGATATCCCTCCACCATATGTCTCGATGCGTCAGTTCAGGCAACTCCAGGCTATGGCCTGTCCCATCGGATCGCCGGGACGTAGCGGTGCCGACTGGAATGTGAGAGACTTCTGTGCCTCGTGTGCCCTGCCGCATAGCAAGGAGCAGTTCATGGAAGATTGGCAGATGTCGCTTGATCCGTGCCACCAGCCGGATATCTTCAATCTTCACGACTTCCACACAACACCCCACGTGTTTCCCATCCACCAGGATCTTCTACCTCTATTCAGCGGAGCCAAGACAGAAAGCTTCAACGACATTCTAATACCTTTTACTCGGCCTACGACAAACCTAGACCCCGGTACCCGCTCTTTCCAGCAGAAGCAAGACGTAGTAATGTGGCAAGGCAATACCGGCGACTTTCCGGCAGTAACACGTGAATCGCTACATGGAAGTCATCGTCTGCGCTTAGTGCACCTCGTCCAGAACGCTACCAAGGAAGACAGCATACCCATGCTACTCGGGATCGGCGTGGAGGAGAACAGCAGGTTTAGATACGAAGACGTGCCCACGGAAGAGGCCAACAGCATCCTCCCTCTGCACTTCTCGCTGACCGAACCACCCGAGGGGTGTCTCACGGACACCTGCGAGCTACTGCGCAACGAGTTCGGCGCGACAGCGCCCGTGACGGAGATAGATAGCCGCTACGTGCTCCTCCTCGACTCTAACAACGGCCCTTCGCCCGACGTGCTGCCGACGCTGCGCTCGACCAGCGTGCCGGTCCTCTCGACGATATTCCAGCAGTGGTTCACGGAGCGGCTGATGCCGTGGGTGCACTTCATCCCGGTCGACGTGCGGTACCACGCGCTGCACAGCACCATGTCGTACTTTGTCGGCCTCGACGGGCGCGGCTCGCTCAACGGCAGGAGGCAGATCACGCCCGGCCGGACCGAGGACGCCAAGTGGATCTCGGAGCAAGGCCGCAAGTGGGCGGAGAAGGCGCTGCGGAAGGAGGATATGCAGGTCTATCTGTTCAGACTGCTGCTCGAATGGGGACGTGTGATTAATGATAAGAGGGATGAGATGGGCTTTGTTTTGAAGGAGTAACCTAAGGTTAGCTTGCTTAGGTAAGTGGGAATGTGTGTGTAACTTTAGGAAGCAAGGGATCTTGTTGGCATTTGACTTGGTATGTAACCTAATATTATCTGTGTATCTAGAGGATACTGTATACAAACATATGTAGTATGCCGTTGTTGGGAATAAAGTGGGTCTAAACTAGGCCTTAGTAATGGGGCTGTGCGTGACGTTGTCGTCACCTCCGTCTCAACGCCAGCCCAAAGCACTGTGTTCTTCTTACCTAACGGCGTATCCACGGGAGCTTCCTTTCAGCTGTTTGTTTCAGTGCCTCCAACATCCCCTACCACACATTCCAATGCATGCATGCCACTAGAACAACCGATCTCGCCATCGAACCTCTCAGCCCTCTCGGACAGAACAGCGTATGGTCCAGTTTATGAACAGACAATAACAACGACCTATCTACAATACTTGAGCATATTCCTGGCAGACTTACAACTGGCAGTTATAACCCCGCCTTCTTCTATGTTGCAATAAGCGGTCAATATAAACAGTACCGACGTCCAGCCTAAGCGTGCGGCTTTCGGGGCCCGTCTGTTGACCGACGATGGCGGTCATCGATCATGATAACTTCTCGAGTATCTCGTGGCAGAGCGAGGGCAATACGCCAATCGCCGAGGGGAGTGCGCCGATGCCCAACATAGAAGCCGAGCCGCCCACACACGAGGACCAGCAGCACGGCGAGGAGCTGGAACACCAAGACCCCGGCCTGACCGGCGACATCCTCGAGTGTACCGTCTCGGAGCCACGCAAGGAGAGCGACGGGACCAAGGATGCATTTGTATCCTATCTGATTACCACAAACGTAAGATGGCGCATGCTCGAACAGAGAGAGCACTGCTGACCTGCGTGCTCGTGTCTACTACCGAAATCTAGTCTACCTTCCCCTCCTTCCAGAAGCCGACATTCACCTCACGACGCCGCTTTACCGACTTCGTGTTCCTGTCCAAGACCCTATCGAAAGAGTACCCAGCATGCGCTGTGCCTCCGCTCCCCGACAAGCAGCGCATGGAGTATGTCCGCGGCGACCGGTTCGGGCCCGACTTCATGAACCGCCGGGCCTATTCGCTCCAGCGCTTTCTGACGCGGATAACGCTCCATCCGATCCTCCGCCGTGCACCCATTCTCCACACCTTCTTGGAGTCCCCCGATTGGAACGCCACGATGCGGGCCCGCGCTGGTAGGACCAGTGCCGGGTCTGACCAGAGTGGTGGTGGGGTCTTTGATAACTTTGCCGACACCTTCATCAACGCCTTCACAAAAGTGCACAAGCACGACAAGCGCTTCATCGAAGTACGGGAGAAGAGCGACAAGCTGGACGACGACCTGGGCCACGTCGAAAAGGTGGTGGCTCGTGTCGTGCGGCGGGAGACGGACATAGAGGCGGACCTGCGCGATCTCACAGAACAGTTCCAGAAACTCATCACACTGGAGCCGGGCGTCGAGAGGGCGATACACGGA